GCAATCGGTTTGCTGTAACTCTGTGTGCTGTAAGTCGTTCTCCAGACAATAAGCTCATCAGGGATTCAGAGTGATGTTCAGTAGCGATTTCCATATAAAACAGCATCCACGAGCTTTGTAACCTTCATATCCCCTGGGGATCCTTGGTTTGTATAAAGCGATGGGCTACTTCGGCCGCCGATGAGGTACACAGGAAGATATTACAGGCTAATGAAACTCGCACTTAGCCATCCGAGTTATGTGGCATATGGGAGACGATCCCCCCGCTAATTTTCAGTCTACTTGAACTGCCTATATGAACTAACTGACCAGGGGTGGGTACCCCCGGTTCTGTAAACTAGCTTGACCAATGAGCTTTGCATTTGCTAAGAATCTGATCCAGTGCAAATGGCAGCGGAAATTGTGGGATGGGAGTTACACCACACGAGCGAAACGCGCTGGTTTTTACGAGACGGGACAAGACGACCGTCTAGTTAAATCGAGCCGCCGTTTCTTATGCCTGTCTGTGTTGGGCTTGCCTCATGGCTTCCTCTTTTGTTTCGCATATTTCTGATCAAACCATAAATAATGCTGCCCACATCATCATCGTCATTGTTTGTGATAACGCGTCTTGTTTCCCACATCAGAGGGGGATCGGGAAGCACCCCAAACCTGTGAGTTCGATTGGCCATATGGGTCACGCTTGTCCTCAGGATCCATTTTCAGCGGAATCTAAACATTTTCTGAGAGCTGTGAATGCAGGAAGCGTGCTTCCAGTGCGGTGTCGGATCGTTATGGCACGATCGATCGGCCTGTTTGATTCTCCTAGGTTTTCGCGAAAATGGCGAAACAGCATTCACGGCCTCGTGAAGTTAACGTACAACCCAGGATCGTTCTTTTTTTTTTTAATATCTGTCCTGGGTGCGCACTTGTTTCAGCTTTGCCAAATCTCACCATCCAGAGCTACACCAGTCAGCAGCACGTGAACCTGCCCAGCCAGTCACCATTCCTGCCAGCGCCCCTGCCCTGCCCATCGCCAAAGTGGGAAACCGGGCAGCAGAGGGCAAAAGATGCCCAGAGCAGATGACTCGTGGTGGCTCACGTCACGGTCACGGGGGATTGGGCAGAGCATGGCATGGCAGGGCAGTGCAGGGCATCTCAGTGGAAGCAATGCTGGGCAGCTCCAGCAGCAACATTTTGCCAGCAATGCAAAGTTCCGGACAGGGCGTGTGGAAACCTCAATCGACAGACCGAGACGACACTCCCATCTTCCCCCGAGTCCCGACCGACCGAACGTTGGTTTGTTTTCAGCTCACTGCACTCAAATGTCATTTTCAGCTCACTGCGTCCGTTGGCTCAAGTCATCAGCTGCTGATCCGTTCACAACGAACATTCCGCAGTTTTCTCTCTCGCATCCCCCTTCATAACGAGCCATTCTCATCGCCAAGTGCCATCGCAACATCAGATCGTTCGCCAACGCGGCGCGCGAAATCTGTATGTACTGCAAACCGCTCGCTCCGAGTTTCTCCGTTCACCGCGCCGCCCGCGCTCCGTCCATTATCCCCACGGATCTACCCGGCTTCTTCCCAACAATAATCTGATATGTGTCATCCGCTGTCGCCTCCGCTCCGCCAGCCCGCACTCTTCGCGAGCGGCACCACTCAAAGCGCCAGCCACTGGCCGCAAACACCTCACGACGACGACCACTACCTCCAACACGACTCGTCGGACGATTACTATCGCAATCAGCACCATCGTGGTGATAATGATGATCACTGTCAACAGCATCATGAATTCGGCGAGGATTATCAAAAAATTGGTTCGGAACACGAGCATGCCGCCGCGCCGCGTCATCAGAAGTTGTCGGCATCGGCTCCAGCAAGCCCCGAGTTTTTGCGAAGCCCACGCATCAATCTTTTCGCGCCAGCGTCTCAGTCCGCTAACGGCCGCGTCGGCGGCAGTGGCTCGGTTTGCAAACCGCCACCCGCCGCTGGACGTCTGGTTGTTCGCGGGGGCAAGCTCGTTCCGCGGCATCCTTCTGCGCCGTGTCGGCCGTCGCTGATGACGTCGCCGCAAGTTCCGGCGGTGAGGGCGCCGCAAGTTCCGCAGGCGAAGACGCCGCAAGTTCCGCTGGCGAAGACCCCGTCCCAACAGGGGCATTTAAGACACGTTAGGCCGCTGCGCCAGCGCGAATCGCCTCATGCCACTTCGACGCTAGTTGCGCGACCGCACGCGTCGCGCACGTCGCCGCCGCAGTCCGTATCACCCTCTCCGTCGTTCGCCCCATTTTTTTCGCCGGCGCCAGCACGAACCGAGCGTTCTAGGCTTGTCTCACCGAACCAGCGTCCGCCCTTGCCAAACCAAAAAGGCCAGGTTCCACATGAGAAGCCCCGCCTTCTGAATCAGCCGACACCGCCTCTCTCTGCCGCTAAACGCCGCTCGCCGCCGATCTCTCCGCGTACTCCGCCGTCGCGCCATGCGTCCGCGCCGCGATCATTTCCAAATTCTCGACAGTCGCCATCCAGCCCGCTTCTTTCCCCCAACGCTCCGAATAAGACTGTTGGTGATGGCGACGTGTTTTTTGCGCCTTCTCCGCCGGCCTCCGCGCCGCGCACGGGCTTCAGGTCGGGCCAGCGGCGTCCGAGCTTCCGCCCGTGCGGGGTTGGCGGAAGCCGCGGCGGAGGCTGCGGCGGCATCCAACGGTGCAACAGCGACAATCACATGGAGCGGGCTCGGCGCGCTGCTGGCCCGCAACATGCGATCAGAATGTTCGGTGGGAGTGAGGTCGGGGAACAGTGCGAGTCGCTGCTGGAACAGGCGCTTCTGTCCCCCACCAGATCGTGCGTGGCGATTCCCCCCTCCTGCACCTGGCCTCCTTGCTCGTCTTCATCCTCGTATTCAGCCGCCCCACTATCGCCTACAGCATCCGCGAATTTATTAATGCAAGATGAAGTCTACTCGGCGGTCTTCACAGAAAGCCCATCCTCGGTGGAAGAACACTCGTCCATATTCAACAGCAATGGTGACTCGAAGAAACCCTACAGCTCTCCAAACTCGACCACAAGCAAGCTGCGTAGGCCTGTATCTACAAATAGTTTGCGCCGAGTTAGGTTTGACATACAGCTCAAGTCCTTCGCGCTTGAGCGTGTCGTGTCGGGTTGAGTGATTTGCGTTTGAGCTCGGTTCACATGATTTTCCTGTCATCACGTAATTAGGTTTCCCGCTAGTGGTTTTCCGCTAGTGTTTTAATCATTCTTGTTTGCGACTCTGCATTCTGGTTATCTTAAAGCTTGCTTCAAAGCATATGTTGTTATTTCCCGATAAGAATAACATTCGCAAGTATTGAGGTTCAAGCGAAGCACACACAAAATAGAACACGATCTGGGCTTGTCGAACTGTATGTACAGTACATCGGAAATTAGGGGGTGCCAGCCAGGGCAGGTTGGGGCCTCTCCTCACCACTCATCGTCAAAATCTCGGATCTACCCGAGCCGCAGGTGCTTGTAAATGCTGGGCTGTCCGTCGATAGACATGAAACGGACGGCATCGAACAAAGTACAGTCGGTGCTCATTTCAAGAACACCAGGTAGGCGGGCGGCATGTGAGTGAAACGAGTTTAATGCTTTTCGCCACATTCGCCCTTGTCGCCACGGGCAAAAGGTGATTGTAAAATGAAATTGGAATGTGAAACGAGTCTAGGGGTTTAAGTTCGTAGCAAGGTAAACAATTCTGATGACAGGCAGCCGTTGTTGTTTATGAACTGTAGATGTTTTTCTTCCTCGACTTGGTGACTGTACCCCGAAATCAGCACAATCACCACTCACAGGCAAAACATCCTGAAGTGGCCCAGCTAGTTAGCTGGTTCACTTCCGAAAGATGAGGTCCCGGGATCAAATCCCCCCTGCGGCGTGTTCTGCCAGCCCCCCAGAAGGGGGTTACACAGGTGCTCATCTGGGAGTGGATAGAACAACCTCGTTGACCCAGCGAGGAGTGTAAACAAATGGGGAGGCGGGTTACGACCGACAGCCAGGTGTGGTTAACACCCAGAGGGGTTTCCCCCCCTCCTTTAACCACTCACAGGCAAAACGTTCGTGAGTGACTGATTTTCTAATTGTGATAAGCAAATTTTTGTGATAGGCTGAGCATCGACTGTATGGGCAGATGGGTGTGAGCAGGCTGGGCATCGTCGTGATTACACACGGTCCTCGCCAACTTCTATCCCACCATTTTCACCCCCTCCTCTGTCGTGACTCGAAGAATCTGGGTAGGGTGCTGCTTTTGGTGAACACATCTGACGTGTCTATGCACGTGCTGAGCTCGAGTTCCAAGGTCAAACAATGACAGGTCATCTGCACGAAGGAATCCAGCAAGGTCAGTGCGCCTCGGTTTCCCACATTTCAGGCGGAGTGCATAATCGCAAGAATGCAGCCAGAGGGGGGTACCACATCTACATGGCAGCTCCAGAGTGATCCGCAAATCCCCCACAATCTGGGGAAATGCATTCGAACCAGTAATTGCTGTTACAAACTGCCACGAAGCACTACTTTCCCAATACCTTCTGCCACGTAAGATTAGGTCGTGTTCACTTTCCACGTAAGATTAGGTCGTGAAATTGGCGAGGGCGCGGTGTACCGTGTTTTGATACAAACGGTCGTGTGAGTGCTTCGGTTTTCTCCTCAAATTCAGGCGGCATACAGATGCCAGGAAAACCGTAAGATTGGGTGGAAGATTGCGTACATTTCGTAGACCATGCGTAGAGACGCATTTACGACCATATGCTAATCTGCGAGGAGAGGACCGAATGAATGGCTTGTGCCTTACGCGCAATAAATAACAACGGGCCCACATGTCCTTCTTCTGATAAGTTCGAGCCGCGCTGGCCAGCTAGAGCAGAATAGGCTATCATCCTGTCAGCCCTTGACACTGTACCTTGCTAGTGCTCGTGCCATTGCCAGCTGTCTGCCCGAATTCAGGGCGACATCCAGATGGCTCCAGGAAAAACGTTAGATTCAGTGAAAGAAATGGTGTCGGTGGATCATTTCGAAGTCTATGTGCAGAAACGAGATTCCGACGGTATGCGATCTGCGAGACGAGGACCGACTGAATGGCTTATCGTGCTCTACGTGCAAAGTTGGATCCGCGCTGGACAGCTAGCGCAGGATCATATCAGGCCCTACTACCCTCAAGTTCTCTCAGCTTTGGAGCCCATCCAACTTCACGTACTACGTCGAGTCGACGCTACTTAGAACTCAAACGCATCATAAAGGGCTCTAGCCTAGCGTCGAGCAGCGCGCAATGAATGGCGGCGAGAATGGCGACGGGGGCGGCGCGACGAGAGGAGGCACCGTCCAAACGAGAAGACTCGCTAGTACCAGCGCGCATCGCGGCGTGTCGCCGACGGCTGAAGTCATTCTCGATTATCACATTGATAGGCGACTCGCAGCAAACGTCCGCAATCGAGTCGAAGGCCAGCAAGAACAGCTTCAAGCTTCTGTAAAGGATGAAGTTCATCCTTTACCGAGTTCCCTTCAAACGGGCTCGAGACTTTCGAAGCCGCAATCGCCGCCGCCGCTGCCACGTCATCGTCGGTACCGATCCGAGGATGCGTTCTCCTTTTACGAACCCTCTCCGCGGAGCGCATCGGCGGGCGGCGTCAATAACGCCGACGGCTCTACTAGCTATACTGGCGAGAGGGGGTCGCGGCGCGTCGGCGAGATAACGATGGAGCGAGGAATGCAGCACCTGAGCACCAGCGGCGGACTCCGAGTCGCCGGACGAGACGGCGGACGAGACGGCGGACGAGACGGCGGACGAGCCGCGACGGAGACTTCGGCGGAAGATGCAGAGGTGGCGGCGGAAGCGGACGCGGCAAGTACTGGCAACGGCGGGGAGACATCCGAGCACTATTTCCGGAGGAAAAGCGCGGGAATCGTGCGATGGCAGGCGGAAGACGATGCGGGGAGAGTCTCCGCGGCCCCCGCCACCTCCCCCACTAGTACCGCCCCCGCCTCCCCCTCCGCCTCCGCCTCCGCCATTCCGCGCGTTCCGAGCCCCACGGGGCTTCCGCCGCGGGCGCTGTCCCCGACAGAAGCAGGCCCGTACAGCTCGGTAAAGTCCCCCGCTCCCTCCGCGCCCAACCACCGCAGATCGCGGAGTAGCGGAGCCTTTCTTTTGGAAGGCGGAATGACGGGGGGACTCCCTCCCATTATCAGCCCGCGAACCAGCGCGTTTTGCGCGAGTTTTGCAGGCAGTGGCGCGCAATTGCCCCCGCTGAGTCCCAGGGGCAGTGGCGCCGCGCAGTTGCCCCCGCTGAGCCCCATGGACGCGGGCGGAAAGGGTGACGGCGGCGCCGTTTGCCCTCTTCCCAGCCCTATTGCGCGGAGCAAAACGACTGGCGGAAGCTTCGCGAGGGGTTCCGCGGCCGTTCCGGTTGCTGACGTGGCAAGCCTCCCTAGAAGCCGCACCACATACGCGACGGGGGAAGGCGGAGGGGGAGGCGGAGCGGGAGGGGGAGGAGCGGGGGGAGGCGGACGCGGGGGCTTGGGGCGAGAAGGCAGGGCGGGTGGCGGAGGGGCAAACTCCCCATTACTGAATCGAAAGAAAGGCACGGGGGGAGGGGGTGGGGGGATTCCTAAAAGCGCGAGCAGCGGGAATCTGGCGCGAATGGCGCAGAGAGGTGGGGGGGGGATGGGGGGGGTCACCCCCCCCACCATGGGTGCTACGATGGTTGATGCTGGCATGGCGGGGGGGATGGGAATGCCTCGCAGTGCGAGCAGCGAGAGTCTGGCGCGAATGTCGCAGAGAGGTGGCCCCACTATGGGTACTTCCACAATGCTTGATGCTGGCATGGCGGGAACGGGAATGCCTCGCAGCGCGAGCAGCGGGAACCTGGCGGGGAACATGGGTGGCGGCATGGGTGGCGGCATGGGTGGCGGCATGGGTGGCGGCATGGGCGGTGGCATGGGCGGTGGCATGGGCGGTGGCATGGGATTGAAGAAGTGTTTTGAGACGTCTCAAAACACTTCTTCAATCATCGGCGGCGGCATAAGCGGCAATAGATTCACTCCCACCATGGGCACGGTACTTGGGAGTCCCAGGGTCCCTCGAAGCGCCAGCAGCGGGAATCTGGCGGGCGGCATGGGCGGCAGTGGTGGGGGCGGCATGAGTGGGAGTGGCGCGGGATTAAGGCTGAGTGGAGTGGGAGTGGGGTCAGGTGGTGGGGGCATGTGGCTGACTGGTGCAAGCACAGGTGCTGCGGGTAATGGCGGAGGGCACAGGAGGACAAGCAGCGTTAGCAGCAGCACTGGCGGTGGTGGTGGTGGTTTCACCAGCAGCAGTGCCAGTAACATGCAGCAACAGCAGCAAGCGTACAGCAGTGGCAGTCCCAGCAACAGTAGCAGCAGTGGCTGTATGATGAAGCGGGGGCACAGGCGATCAGCCAGCACAAGCTATCAGCTTGATTCCACTCCCACCACTCCCACAAACATTGCTGATGTCAGCAAGCCCAATGGATTCAAGGCTCCAAGAATCGTGCTTCCCCACCACAACAGCCTCAGTCCCGCCGCTTCACCACCCAACACCAGCCCACGTGGCAGTAGCAGCAGCCTCGCTCCTGGTGACACGTCACTCAAGTCGCCCTACACCAGCCCGCCCAATGCCAGTCCACGTGGCACTTCGCCCTCCCCCAGTTACCACCTCCCCCCTTATAAAACTTCTCCCTCTGCTGCTCATGCTGCCGCTGCCACGTTGCTTGGAGGGCGTGTGCTAGGACCAGCGCAATTACTTGGAGGCTTTACAAAAGCAGTAACAGCAGTAGCTGGAGCAGCAGGAGCAACAGGAGCAACAGGAGCTGCAGGAGAAGCACCAGCCATTCCCACAACCTTCTCTCGCTCCCCAAGGCACCGAAGCCCCAGTGCGCTCAGCCCGAGCCTCCGCGGTCCGAAGCTGAAAAGCCCGAGCCACTCCAGCCCCAGCATCAGCCGGACCAGCAGCTCAAGTCCGGCAGGAAATACATCAAGCAGTTTTATCAGTAACTCCTCGCCAACTTACCTCCCTAGTCCAGCCTCCTCGGCGTCTTTAAGTGCAAGTAGTCCGTATGCTAATTACCCATATACCCCAGGAGGGGGGAGTGTGGTGCATAGTCCGCAATCCATGGCTGCTCTTGCAGAGAGGGACAAGCAAAAGCTGGCTGAGATTCAAAGCTTCTTTGCTTCGGGAGGGCTAGGCTTGGGAGGGCTAGGCTTGGGAAGGCGAGGTTCGGGGCAATGGGGGGTGGGAGGACCCACACCGAACCAGTCACCCAGGCCTGGTATGTCCCCCAATACCTCCCCTCCTGTCACTTCGCCTTCAAGAGGAGCAGCAGGAGCAGGTGGAGGAGGGGAGAGAGGAGGAGCAGGTGGAGGAGGGGAGAGAGGAGGAGGAGGAGCAGGTGGAGGAGGGGAGAGAGGAGGAAGGGGAGGAAAGAAGGGAGTGCTGGGGCTGTTTCTAGGGCCCATTCGCACACCAAGTCCCAGTGAGTATTACCGGCTTGCTTCCCCTGGCGGCAGTGGGTGGATGGGACGGGTGTGGGGACAGCGAGCGGAAGGAGAGGAGCAGGTGGAAGAGAAGGAGGAAGGGGAAGGGAAGGAGAAGGAGAAGGAGAAGGAGGAGGGGGAGGATTGGGGGAAGTACATGGGTGGTGAGGCGTATGAGGAGAGTGAGGATGGGGAGGGGCAAGAGGGAGACGCAGGAGAAGCAGCCGCAGCAGGAGCAGCACCAGCGGCACCAGCAGCAGCAGCAAGGGAGCAGGGAAATCTGACAAAAGAAGGTGGTGCAACAGCAGGCGCAGCAGCGGCGGCAGGTGCAAGTGCGGTGCAAGTAAAAGGAGCTGTAGCAGGGGCAGGGGCAGGCGCAGCAGCAGCAGCAACAGCAGCAGCAGCAGCAGCAGGCGAGGCTACCAGAAAAGAGACTGCAGAAGCCACCGCAGGGGCCACAGCGGGAGTCCGGCCAGGAAAGGCGGATGTGAAAGCATTGGTGCAGGCAGCGGGAGCAAGAGGGAAGGCAGACGCGAAGAGCACGGTGCAGGCAGGAGCAGGAGGAGGAGCAGGAGGAGGAGGAGCAGGAGGAGCAGGAGCAGGAGGAGCAGGAGGAGCAGGAGCAGGAGGAGCAGGAGCAGGAGGAGCAGGAGGAGGAGCAGGAGGAGGAGGAGCAGGAGGAGCAGGAGGAGGAGGAGCAGGAGGAGGAGGAGCAGGAGGAGCAGGAGGAGGAAAAAAGGCGAATGCAAAAGCCATGATGCAGGCAGCGGGAGCAGGAGGAAAGGCGGACGTGAAAGCACTGGTGCAGGCAGGAGCACGAGGAGGAGCAGGAGGAGGAGGAGGAGGAGGAGGAGGAGGAGGAGCAGGAGCAGGAGGAGGAGGAAAGGTGGACGTGAGAGCACTGGTGCAAGGGGCTTTGGAGGAGTGGCGGAGGACGGAGGCAGCAGCGATGCAGCAGCTCTCAGCCTCTGTGCTGGGGAGAGGTTTATCTGATGTTAGGAAGGTGTATCGGCTGGGGAAGGAACTGGGGCGGGGGAATTTCGGTGTGATCAGGGAGGCCAAGGATTGGGTGTCTGGGGAACGATTTGCGTGCAAGAGCGTCAACAAAAAACGGCTGGAGGTGAGCAGGTATGGGTGGGAGGGGTGTCTGGGACTTGCTGGATGTGCGCAAGGTGTACCAGCTGGGGAAGGAGCTGGGGCGGGGGAACTTCGGGGTGATCCAGGTGGCTGTGGATTGGGGGTCTGGCGAGCGGTTTGCTTGCAAGAGTGTCAACAAGAAACGGCTGGAGGTGAGGGCAGATGGGGAAGAGAGGGGAGACTTTCTCTGAGGCGCCTCAAGAAACGATTCGGGTGCAAGAGTGTCAATAAGGGAGTGGGAGGGGGAATATGGCAGTGTTGAAGGAATGCAGTTTCTCTTCAAAACTTTCAGACACGAGTGGGTGATGCAGTGCCACTAAATTTTCTCATCACCCTCATCTTTTCCTCCCCTCCCCTTGCACCCCCACCTGCCAGTGCCTGGACGACTTAGCGGATCTGAGGAGGGAGGTGGAGGTGAATGGATTGCTCGAGGGAACCCTCATCCCCCTCTTCTTTGCCTTCCATCGTCTCTCACCCCTACCTGGCAGTGCGTGGAGGACTTGGCGGATCTGAGGAGGGAGGTGGAGGTGATGCGATTGGTGAAGGGGCATCCCAACATTGTGTCACTGGTGGATACGTATGAAGATGACACGGTGAGTTGACACTGGAGATGACACGGTGAGTTGACAGTGGAGATGACACGGTGATTTGACACTAAAGATGACATGGTCAGATGACACTGGAGATGACATCGTGAGTTGACACTGGAAATGACACAGTGATATGATTCTGGTGCTACCACTGTGCAGTGAACGAGTAACATTGCAACTCAGTGTGTTAGCATCACCCTGTGTTCACATGGATATTTCAGTAACCCTCAGTTTGAGCCACCTCAAACCTACTGAACCTTACCCGCCTTCTCCTCTCCTCTCCACTCTCAACCCCCAACCCCCCCTGCCTTTCCTCTCAGCACGTGCACATGGTGATGGAGCTGTGTGAGGGGGGGGAGCTATTCGACCGCATTGTTACGTGCCTGTGAACCCTGCCCGCTGTGTGAGGGTGGGGAGCTGTGAACCCCATTTGAACACCTCTTCTCCTCTCCCCCTTTTCCTCCTTCCCCCTCCCTACCTCCTTCACCAGGACGTGCACATGGTGATGGAGCTGTGCGAGGGGGGAGAGCTATTCGACCGTATTGTTGCGCGCAAACACTACAAAGAGCGTCAGGCAGCGCAGGTGGGCTTTGTGAGCGAAAAGATGATGAATCGGAATGGGCAGCTCTTGAGTCGGAGTGGGCAGCTCTTGAGGGTATTTTTGAGAAATTTCCAGGGTATTTTTTAGAAGTCTCAAAAATACCCCGCAGCGTCTGAATGGGCAGCTCTTGAGTCTGAATGTGCCACAGTCTGGCCCACGTGCCGCGCCACTTCCACTCCCTCCGCATCCTCCACCGCAACTTAAAGCCTGAAACCTGCTCCCCGTGTACTGTGCTGTGCTCTGCTCTGCTCTTCTGTGCGGTGCTGTGCGGTGCTTTTCTATTCCGTGCAGGTGTGCCACACTTTGGCTGACGTGCTGTGCTACTGCTACTCCCAGCGCATCTCCACCCTCCCTGACATATGAGTTTTGAGTCAACTCAAAAGTCATCTCGCATCCTCCTCCACCCTCCCTGACATATGGGTTTCACCTCTTAATTGAACAGCACATCTGGAAGCTCAATCCATGCTGTGCTGTGCCATGCGGTTCACTTCTCTGCTGTTCCCTTCTCTGTTCTTCCTTCTCTGCCCTCCCATGCAGGTGTGCCGCACTCTGGCCGACGTGCTTTACTTCTGCCACTCCCAGCACATCCTGCACCGCAAATGAACGTGCTTCTCATGTGCTGGTGCTTCCTCTGCTGTGCTGTTCTGTGCCATGCAGGTGTGCCGCACTCTCGCTGACGTGCTGCGTTACTGCCACTCCCAGCGCATCCTCCACCGAGACTTAAAGCCCGAGAACGTGCTCCTTGTCTCCACGCGCAGCGACACGCGCGTGAAGCTCATAGACTTCGGCATGGCCTACCGCTTCCAGGACGGCGAGCGCTGCACCCAACGTGCCGGCACTCCCAACTACATCTCCCCGGAGGTTATCGCGAAGAATTATGGCACCGAGGCGGATGTGTGGAGCTTAGGGGTGATTCTCTATGTGATGCTGTGCGGGCTGCCGCCGTTCTGGGGGGATTCGACGGAGGAGATCTTCTCGAGTATTCTGTACGAGCCACTGGATCTGGAGACCGAGCCTTGGCCGGACGTGTCTGCTGCGGCTAAGGACCTGGTTCGGCGGATGCTGTGCCGGAGGTTCGACGAGCGGATTACTGTGCCGGCGATACTGAGTGAGTTGGCATTGTTGGTGTGTGGGCTGTCTTATTAGGTGCCTCAAAAGTCCTAAGTGAGTGGGCATTGTTGGTGTGTTGGCTGTCAGTGGGGCTGATTGCAAGGCTGACTGCAAGGTTGCTTTAATTGCTGCTCACTCCAGCTATCAGCAGTGTGATGTGTTGTGGGGTGCTATGCTGTGCATTGCCATAATGTGTTGTGCTCTGCTGTGCTGTGCTGTGAGACGCTGTAAGGTGCTGTGAGGTGCTCCCCCCTTTCCCCATCTCTCCCATTGTTTGATGCTTTGAAAGTCTTGTTTTTTAAACATCTTTACTTTGGACCCCTTCAATCCTGTAACCTGGTTTTCATGTACTATTCGTTGTCAAGCCGCGTCTACCTCTGTAAAGCTTTCCCCCTCTAACCTCCTCCCTCGACCCTATTCTTTCCCATGCCCCCCACCTCATCCCACATGTCTTGACCGTGCAACTGTGCACTGTGGAAAACTCAACGTGGATCTATAATTGCAACAGAGCATCCATGGATTAAAGCCCTCACCCTCACTTAAGGCAATAATATTGTCAAGTTGTTGTTAGGAGGTTGCATTGCATGCTCAAGATGGCATGCGTTATCATGGTATATTATATTTATTATATTTGTTTTTTAATTATATTTATTATGCGATACTTGAGGCTGTTGCCTGCTAGCCTTGACCTTATTTGCGAAACTTTAGCAGAACCTGGGCTTTATCGGAGCCCACTTTAGCGTTGTGAAAACTCCACGCACCCTCCCTATTCACCCACTTCCTATCCGAGTCCTCCTAGTCTGCTTTACTTCGTCGTCACAACCTACAAGGTCAGCGTGCTCCACACAGGAGAGGTACAGCCGTTTTTTGAGCTTCTTGGGAGCCATTTCTGATTCAGTAGAATAGAATAGAATCCACAATGGCGACCGACGCCTGCACGAAACCCGCGCGTCTCAACAGCGCTTCAGTTCCTGCGCCGTTAGGTCCAGAGAGAGTAGGGCATTCCGGAGCAGCAGAGGCAGAAGAGAGGGAGAGCGCAGCGGGTGGATTAGGGCTGTCGCGCGCGGTCGAGACGGCGCGGTCTGCGATTGGGCGCGCGGTGGAGCTGGAGCTATTAAACGACCTGCGGATTAAAGGCGTGCTCTCAGACTGCGATCACAAGCTCAAGTGCGTTGCAATCTTTTTTTCTGCTACACTGACGAACAGTCGGCGATAGCTGCAATCAAATCTTGCTCCAATTCCCTGGAAGTGATACGAGGTTGACTAGTTTTTCCTGTTATTGCCATCCAATCGCCTATTTAGGCCTCTCAGTCCGTGAATTCTTCCTTGCTCACTACGTCTATGCCATTCAACCATATTCGTAATTATATCCCTGCACGATTCTGATATCCATTTCAGTGTAGCCCCCGACTCCCCTGCATTCCCTGATATCATTGCCTCACTATTAACTGCAGTTGCACTGTCACTGCAGCTTCCACTGAAACGGCAATGGTACGTTTCATCAGCGCACTTCCGCTCCTCCTCCCTACGTCCTATCCTCACACTTCCCCTCCTCCTCTCCTTCCTCCCCCCCTCCTCTCCTTCCTCCCCCACTCCTCCCCCACCTCCCGCTCCTCTTCGTCATTCTCCCCTACCTCCACTTGTCTCCTTTTACACCTGCTAAGCTGTATGATGGGCCATGCATGGGATGGTGGGCCATGCATGGGATGGTGGGCCATGCATGGGATGGTGGGCCATGCATGGGATGGTGGGCCATGCATGGGATGGTGGGCCATGCATGGGATGGTGGGCCATGCATGGGATGACGGGCCATGCATGGGATGATGGGCCATGCATGGGATGGTGGCCCATGCATGGGATGGTGGGCCATGCATGGGATGATGAGCCATGCATGGGATGAAGGGCCATGCACGGGATGAAGGTTCTTGCATGGGATGGTGGGCCATGCATGGGATGAAGGGCCATGCACGGGATGAAAGTCCTTGCATGGGATGGTGGGCCATACATGGGATGATGGGCCATGCATGGGATGATGGGCCATGCATGGGATGATTGGCCATGCATGGGATGATGGGCCATGCATGGGATGAAGGGCCTTGCATGGGATGATGGGCCATGCATGGGATGATGGGCCATGCATGGGATGATGGGCCATGCATGGGATGAAGGGCCTTGCATGGGATGATCGGCCATGCACAATATGATGGTAGGCTGTCCATAGCATGTTGTACATGATAAGCCATGTATTCATAACTCTACCGACCATGAACCTGAATGGGAACTACCCTGCTGTCCTAAGTGCAACAACCTTCTCCCTACCATCCCCATCCCACCATTGCAGGGCGAGTCGTTGTCGTTTCCAGCTTTGTTTGTAAGAGCAAGGGCTGTTCGCTTGTTGCGGGTACCGAGCATGTGTACGTTGAGCCGGCACGGGGCTTGCTAAGCTATCCTGTGAACATACGGTATACTGTACTATTGAGCTTGGATGAAGTCGAAATAACATCATACAAGCACTACAGCACTCACTACAGAATGCACAGCTTTTACACCTAGGTTCACCAGCTGCTCACTAGAAGCAGTTCTTCCGTTTACCGGCAAAGAAAAAGAAGCTGCTCCTAACAATCACCCTCCCCACAATCACTAACTTCTGGCTGCAGAATCCACTCCAAACCAGGGGTGACACAAAGACCCGCCAAAGATTGTAGTTATGTTGATCCGCAGAGCTACACGATGGGGCAGTCCAGTTGCAGGGCCACAAGCCCTGGTGCAGCCCGCCAGCTCTGCAGACAAACAGATAGCACAATGGCCGTAGGGGAGATTGTCAGAGAGGAGGGTGTGTGTATCACGGACTGAATCAAGATCCGCCAGTGATGCCGTTGGTCCTCGGATCTCAAACAAAGGGGCACTTTAAGCCCGAGCCTGGGCAATTTCAGTCGTTGATGCGTTAAAATAGACGGTGCAGATGCAGCAGGTTCACAAGCCACAGGGCGAAATAACATGGACAAGAGGAGGACGACATAAGAAGCAGCCCCATACCTGCCCCTGAGCCACCCTCACGAATGTCACTCGGGCAGAGTCATCCATGACTGGAACGGCGTAGGTGAAAAGACGCAGCAGCCATACGGTGAAACATACAAGGAGGGCAAACGAGGGGAAAGGAACATACCTGCGCCTGGGCCACCCTCACGAATGTCACCCGGGCACAATCAGCCGTGACTGCCTCAGGCGGTGCAGTGGTGGTTTCACCAGCCGCCATAGTCGCATTATCAGCAGCCAGAGACTGTCCCCCACTTCCCCTCGCTGCAGTGCGTGCGGCTACAGCCAGGCTGTAGCGGGCCAGGGCGGCAGCTGCGGCTGACAGGGTGGAGGCGCATCTGGAGCAGGCTGTATCTGCCGAGGTGCAGGCCTTGGCCAGGCGAGTGACATTCTGACTGCAAGGAAACGAAGAGGAGGGGGGGGGGGGGGGGGGGGGGGGCGCGGAAGAGGTTGAGGGAGAGAGAGAGAGGGAGCGGATGATTGGGACGTGCGGCTGTCAAGAAAGCAGCGGAGAGCGTGGAGGTGCATCTGGAGCAGGCTGTATCTGCCGAGGCGCAGGCCTTGGCCAGGCGAGTGACATTCTGACTGCAGGGAGCAGGAGGGGAGGGATGATAGGATCACTTGTATTGTTAGCAGATGATTGTCAGACAATAGCAGCAGACAGGGTGGGGACGCGTCTGGTGCAACCCATACCTGTATCTGTTAAGGAAAGGCTCATGGCTTTAAAAGGCACATGCCCTGCAGGAAGCAGGGCTGAGGCGCAGGTACAAAGCAGGAAAATAAAAGATGGACAGATGAAACGAAACAAGAGTTATGCTTGTTGATATGTACTTACAGTCGATCAACATCCTGCACCCACACCACAGGGCACTTGTTGCTTGGTGGGTCGACAGCCAGCAGAGGGAACAGACTGCGCCGAGAGGAGGAAGAGGAGGAGGGTCCCTTGCTGTTGAGAAAGGAGTACCCATGTTCCCATGAAACACGTCTATTGTTAGAGCACTTACAGTCGATCGACGTCCTGCACCCACACCACAGGGCACTTGTTGTTCGGCGGATCCACAACCACCAGAGGAAGCAGACTGCGGCGAGAGGAAGAGGGGACCTTACTATTGGCAAAGCAACTTATATCCTTATATGCCCATCAAATATGTGTGGTTAGCACTCACAGTCGATCAACATCCTGCACCCACACCACGGGGCACTTGTTGCTCGACGGGTCGACAGCCACCACAGGAAGCAGACTACGCCGAGAGGAGGAAGAGGAGGAGGCGTTGGTGGGAGGGTTGCAGAGGGAGAAGACGTTGGCAGTGATGCGAGGGCGCACAGGTGATGCCTGCAGATGCGCCTGGAGAGACTGCGGGAGGGAGGAGAGGAGCAGAGAGACAACAAGAAACACAGGAAAGCAAGAGTCAGAGCCTTCAAGTGAGAGCTTGCCGGCAGTGATGCGCGGGCGCACAGGTGATGCCTGTAGATGCGCCTGGAGGGACTGGAGATTAGACAAGGGAGAAAGAGGAGCAGAGAAACCCACAAGAAAACCACAAGAAACGGAGTTGAAAGCCAGTTGTTGGCAGTGATGCGCGGGCGCACAGGTGATGCCTGCAGATGCGCCTGGAGGGACTGGCGGAGGGAGAGGAGGGAGAGAGACCACGAAAAACAGAGGAAGGATTACAAACAAAGTGCTTTAATATCAGAGTTGATGACAGAGCCGTGGCAAGGGAAACAGGTAATGTTTCAAGATGATCGAAAGAGGGGGTAATCGTCACACTAGAATTGGACGTCCTCATCATAATACTATGGAAATATCACCTCTTCCCCTTGCCACGGCTCTGCCCTCAGTCCCACTCGCCCTCCCTTTTGGTGAGCAGGAAAACGAGGAAGAAACCGGAAAAAGGACGGCTGAGCAGTCACAGCAGAAGCTGTTGCTTTGTTCGCAGAGTTTCAGTACCTTCCTGCAAGGGGTGTTGAGCTCTGGCTGTGTGGTGATAGCAAGGAAGAACATGGGCTCTCTCGTTGCAAAGCTCCTTTGGAACGCCACGAGCGGGCGCTCTGAGACCTATTGAGACCTCGACCGCTTCAGCTCTTGAGACACCTGGTGAGACGGGTCAAAGCTTACCTTCCTGCAGGGCGCGTTGGGTGGTGATGGCAAGGAAGAACATGGGCTCCCTCGTTGCAAAGCTCCTCTGAAACAACCGGAGAGCGCTGTGAGACCTCTTGGCTTCTTGAGACCTCTTACCTTCCTGCAGGGGGTGTTGAGCTCAGGCTGTGTGGTGATGGCAAGGAAGAACATGGGCTCCCTCGTTGCAAAGCTCCTCTGAAACGCCAGGAGCGGTGCACAGCACGCGTCTGGCGATGGAGATGGGCCAGAGCAGGCCGAGAGAGCTGGAGGGAGTGTACGAGCAGGCATGAGCGACAGGGGAACGGAAGAGGTAAGAGAGGAGGTGAGGCAGTCAGGTGAGGCAGTCAGTCAGGTGAGGAAACCCTTTCTGGAGTGAGGGTGACCGAGCAGGCCGGGGAGGCTGGGAAGAATACAAGGAATGCACGAGAACAAGGAAAGGGAGAAAACATACAGGAGTAGAAAGCCTACAGGTGACAGAAAACAGGCGATAAAAACGCACAGGCGATGAAAACGCACAAGTCATGTTCCCGTTGGAGAGGGAGGTGAAGTCAACGCTACAGCCGTAGGTTGGTATCACAGGTGGGGGAGGTGGCACCGGGATAGCCCTAGCCCTGCTGCCGCTGCCACTGCCACTGCTGCTGGTGCTGTTCCCGCTGCTGCTGCTACTGTTGCTGCCACTTGCGCTGCTGCTGTTGTTACCGCCGCTAATGGTGAAACTCCCACCATCAGTGGTATCATCTTCATCAGTGCTACTGCCGGGAGGAGTGGTGGTGCCCGGAGGAATGGTGGTGCTGTCAGGAGGGGTGGTGCTGCCAGGAGGGGTGGTGCTGCCAGGAGGGGTGGTGCTGCCAGGAGGGGTGGTGCTGCCAGGAGGGGTGGTGGTGCCGGGAGGGGTGGTGGTGCCGGGAGGGGTGGTGGTGCCGGGAGGGGTGGTGGTGCCGGGAGGGGTGGTGGTGCCGGGAGGGTTGGTGGTGCCGGGGGAAGAGTCATCAGGGCCAGGAGATCTAGGTCGACTTGAGGTTACGTTGGTGTCCGCTGCATCCGCCAGAGTCGCGATCAAGGGCAGAACGAGCAGCACCAGGAGGAGCAGCAGCACGAAGCACCTGCACAGGGAGAAACAATGCAAGACACATGCAGAAAAGGAAAGAGAACAAGCCAGCGTCACCGTCACGATTCTATGCGATTCTTTTAGTTATGTTTTTGATACGTCTCAAAAGGTACTAGAAACGGGTTTCATACGACAGTATGAAAAGTACTACGGACGGAAACAAGGATGGAAGCAAGGAAGGAGGAGTGTCGTCAACATTGCCCTGTCAAGCAGACTGTAACGAACTGCTGTGATAACGACGACTGGCCGGCTTGGATCATTCAGTGACAAACGTACCGTTGCATCGCTTGCTGAGAAGGGGAGGCCATGCGCTTTATGGTGTGGAGGAGTAACGGGTGGTTATCAGAGGTAACACGCGGCGAGAGATGGTAAAACGCGGTGAGCAAAGGCGTTTGCACAGAGCGTCAGATTCGCTGAAGGATTGGATTTTCAGACGCGCGAGATGACACAATCTCAAGAGCCTAATTCGTTGATTATGGTAGTCCATATTTAAACCACTGAGCCTGGCGACGATTCCCAGAAGAATAAGCACTTTCATCGACTCAAGAAGAGAACAACTCGCGGCTCGAGGAGGTACAGGGAAGGAATGTCTGGAGTGGGAGAAACGAACGACTCGAACCATTTTACGTCTCAATTGAAATTGAATTCACGTCGTTCAATCCAAGAAGTGCTCGCTCAGCATCTCTCAATTGAGGAGAACGACCCCTCCACAAATACGATGGCGAATTGGTTGCGGGTCTTGTGCGAGGCATATGTCCTCAGTTCCATAATCCCTGAGATCCCTATTTCCCGTGTTCCACGTGCTGGAATCACCAAGGCCTGGAGAACAGATAGAAACCTTGAAGTTTGGTGGCTGGTTTGGGGAGGGTTTGATCAAGACGCAGTTTCCAAAGGCAGAACTGAAATGAGTTGACGACAGTCGGGTCAGCACTGCAAGTTCACTTAGAGCGCCAAATCTGCGCACCGTGTATCATTCTTCGACACAGTCATGCGGCTGCGGATTTGTCACGTTGGTTCGTGCTTACATAAATACTATCAGAGAACCGTACATGTAATCTTGTGCTTTACTTACGCCCTGGGAAACCACATCTTTGAATTCTATCCTCGAGTTTGTTTGCAGCGTTATGGCGATAACATTTCAGCTCGCAAACAAACTCCCTTTTCAATACACGAAATTGCGGTGGACTTCCCCACTGAACGGGGAACACTTACCGAAATCGCATTGCCGGGGCGCGTAACGCTCACGAACAACCACGACAACTTTAGAAAGTTCTTCCCTGCAATCGCAGCCAATGACGGAACTTCCTGAAGTTCGTGAACCTCGTGGGTTGAGGGATTGGTCTCTCGGCTTGGCGGGGGAGAAGACGGTTGTTGGTGCAGCAGCAGCATCTACGGTGGTGCCGTGCCGTGGTTGTTCCGTGGTTCGAATTGACGGGGAGGGCTGTTTGTGTGGCTGTGGGGAGGAGATGGAGGGACGCCAACAAGAGCAACCACCTTGTTTGTGGGATCACATCAACGAAGTTTTGGGTGTTATGGACCTATGGTTGCAAAGCATGCACGTAATAGCCTGGGGGGAACCAAGGCATAAGGAAGGCAGAGCTTGGGTGAGATGAATGCTTTCCAGCTCGTCCAGGCATATGCCAATAACGGCTGTGAGCTTCTAACCGTAACTTCTGACCCTGCTGTACTTAGTGGATACTGATATATGAATGTATCGAGCGTAACCTTCTCGCATCCATCACCGGGAAGCGGGACCGGTGCTAATTCCGTACGATTTGCACTGATCTGAGAAACCTGTGAGACTCTGTAGCGTGACTTGGAACCTAGCCAGAAAGAAATGGTCGTTAGGTTACCCGACATGGAAATGCGAGCAAGGAAGTCGACGGTTGTTCACGCAGGAAGACAAGATTCGTTAAACGAGACGGATTCCGTCACAAAAAATCGCGCTGTTAACGGCGCGCGCGAGCCAGCTTTGGCGACGGCGACGTCCAGAAGTCGACCGCGGCTCGAGCGGCAAGAGCCAGAATCTGACGAGCCGCGAGTTGCGGCGCAGGAAGAAAGAGAAACAGTGAAATTCGTCAATGGGGAGGCGAAATCCTATCTCGAGGATTCTCAGAACGGACTTGCGAATGGAAAGGAGGGAACGGGACCTGGTACCGGCGGTGGGAAAGAAGCAGCGCGATTCACGGATCGTAGCGGGATTCACGGACGTGGAGGAGCGACGGGAGGTGGTGCCAACAGCAAGGCGTTGATTTGCATGGCGCTGCTGGCGTTGCAGTACGGCTTGCAGCCGATTCTCACGAGGAAGCTGCTCAGGTAATAGATGCGTGCGATGCTAGCGATATGTGATAGGGTAACAATGTAACAGTGTTTTCTCCAGTCAATGGTTTGCATCATGGTGCTGCTGGCGTTGCAGTACGGCTTGCAGCCGATTCTCACGAGGAAGCTGCTCAGGTGATGGATGCTTGCGATGCGAGTGAGGTGATGAATGGCGTGATAGGGTAACCATGTAACAGTGTTTCGCCGGTGCACTCGTTGATTTGCATGGCGCTGCTGGCGTTGCAGTATGGCCTGCAGCCGATTCTCACGAGGAAGCTGCTAAGGTGATGGATGCTTGCGAATGCAGACCACGCCATCTTTATCCCCCTCATGCGGCGTTGTCTGTTGCTTGGTCGTGCTTCAATTCCCCTTGCACCTTGCGTTTCTTCCCCAGCTGTCCTGTCAGTTCTACTCTGTCCTTCTACTCTATCCTCAACTGTGTTCCCCCCTCCCCCCGATCCAACAGTCGCGACGTGCTGATAGCGAGTCAAGTCATCACCTGCGAAGTGCTCAAGGTGAGGCGCACCCCCGCCTCAAGTACCCCTCCTCCCTTTGTTGCCCTCCACTCCACCTCTTTTGAGGCTCTTCAGTAGTCGCCTCTTCGTTTAGGTTGCGCCTCAAGAATTCGACGTGCTGGTACTCTCAGTACGCTTCTTGTATCGTCTGCCTGAAAACAGAAATGAGAGGCAAGGGGGTTCTCACCTTGCCTCTCCTCCTGAATTCAGTGTGAATTTCCCCTTCTCGAAAACCCCTTGCCTCTCCTCAAGCAATTTTAAATCCAGATTGTTCGAACTTTTTACCCCCTCGCCCCAGGACCACCCCCACAGCCACTCTTTCCTTCCTCGCCTTCTCTTTCGTGCCTCCACGAGGTAACAACAGTGATCACTCACGCTCCTCTTATATCCCCCCCCCATCAGGCCGTCGTAGCCCTCACAGCCATGTTCCTAGGCTTCCCTCTCTTCACCGTCTGGCACCACGAGTCAACCATGCATTGACATTACCCGTCTCCCACTACCCCCTCCCCTCCAACCCCACTCCCCCTTTCCCCCCCCATCAGGTCCTCATAGCCCTCACAGCCATGTTCCTGGACGGCTCTCTCTTCACTGTCTGCTGCCACTGGCACCACAAATCAACCGTGCATTGACATAACCCATTCCCCACTATCCCCTCCAATCCCCCAACACACCCCCTCTCCCGCCTCCCATCAGGTCCTCATAGCCCTCACAGCCATGTTCCTAGACGGCTCTCTCTTCACCGTCTAGTGCCACTGGCAACCCCATTGACTCGACTTAAACAAGTAAACCATGCATTGTCATCATCCGTCTCCCACCAACCCATCATCATCCCCCATCAGGTGTTAATAGCCCTCACGGCCATGTTCCTAGACGGCTCTCTCTTCACCGTGTGGCGCAACTGGCACATTCTGGACTCGTTACAAGCTGCTGCGGTACCAGGCCTGCTGTACGCCGGCCAGAACACGCTCATTCAAGTCGCCTTACGTCATCTGGACTACCTCACGTTCAACCTGCTGAATCAGACGAAGCTTTTGTTCACGGCCCTCTTCAACTACTTGTTCCTCAGGTAAGAGGGAATGTGGTGAGGTGGGAAAGGGGCTACCTCAATTACAACACGCTCATTCAAGTGGCCCTGCGGCACCTGGACTATCTCACGTTCAACCTGCTGAACCAGACAAAACTGCTCTTCACCGCTCTTTTTAACTACCTGTTCCTTAGGTAAGAGGGAACGAGGTAGGGTGGGAAAGGGCCCACCTCATTTACAACACACTCATTCAAGTGGCCCTGCGGCACCTGGACTGTCTCACGTTCAACCTGCTGAACCAGACGAAGCTTCTGTTCACTGCCCTCTTCAACTACTTGCTCCTTAGGTGAGGGGGAATGAAGCACGGTGGAAAAGAGGGAAAATGAGGTGGGAAAGGGCCCTCCTCGTTCGGAACACGCTCATTCAAGTGGCCCTGCGGCACCTGGACTACCTCACCTTCAACCTGCTGAACGAGGGACGAGGGGTACGAGGGACGAGGGGGCCCTGTGGCTTGTTCCTTAGGTACGAGGGGTTGCTGTGAGGTGTGAAAGAGGGAGAATAAGCCATATGGACTATCGCACGTTTTGACTAAGGTATTGAAGCCCACAGCGACCCTTGGTTTTTGAGTCGGCTCAAAAGCTGACCTTTGAGTCGACACAAAAGCTGACTTCTGAAACGACTCAAAAGCTCCACAACGACCCTTGGTTTGTCCTACCCTTTTAACCTTTTCAGAGAGGTTTACCCTACTCTTTCAACCTTCCCCCCCCTCCGCCTTTTCGTTTCCTCTCACCCATCTCAGAATTCGCCAGACTCGCGTCCAGATCGTCGCCCTCTGCATGCTGCTCGTCACTGCGAGGGAAGGAAGGGAAGGAGAGAGAGAGAGAGAGCGAACTGTCCTCGTTTCCATCCTCTCAACCTTTTCCTCCCCTGTCGCCTCTCACTCCATCACAGAATCCGCCAGACTCGCGTGCAGATCGTCGCCCTCTGCATGCTGCTCGTCGCCGCCACACTACTCACCCTCGGCCCTGGGCCTGGGTCTAGCCCAGGGTCTGGGCCTGGGTCTGGGCGCGGGCAGTCTCAGGGAAGCAGTGCGGCTACTGCTGCTACTGCCACTGCTACTGCTGCTGCGGCTGTTGTTGCAGCAGGCGTGGCGTGGGAGAGAGTGGCACTGGGAGTGGTGCCGGTGCTGGTGGCATCAGTGACGTCTGGGCTGGGATCAACGCACAACCAGTGGCAAGTGCAGGTGCGTGTGTGCGGGCATCTGATTGTGCTGTGGCTGTGGGTGCGGCCTCTGCTGTTGCTGCAGCAGGCGTGGCGTGGGAGAGGGTGGCGCTGGGGGTGGTACCGGTGCTGGTGGCATCAGTGACGTCTGGGCTGGGGTCGACCCACAACCAGTGGCAAGTGCAGGTGCGTGTGCGTGTGTTTGGGGGGGGTGGTAGTGGGGTTGTAACATGTTGCCTTGGACACTGTTGGTTGCTTCAGTGACGTCTGGGCTGGGGTCAACGCACAACCAGTGGCAAGTGCAGGTGGGTGCGTGTGGTGTTTGTTGTTTTTGAGTCAACACACGCCATTTGAGCTGACTCGCAACACTGCTGGTGGCATCAGTGACGTCTGGGCTGGGGTCAACCCACAACCAGTGGCAAGTGCAGGTGCGTACGTCTGTGCGTGCATCTGATTGTGCTGTGGCTGTGGGTGCGGCCTCTGCTGTTGCTGTTGCTGCAGCCGGCGTGGCGTGGGAGAGAATGGCACTGGGAGTGGTGCCAATGCTGGTGGCTTCAGCATGTGATGTTCCCTTTCCCTTCCCCTTCCCCTTCCCCTTCCGCTTCCTCCGCCTTCTCTCCGCTTCCTCCCCCTTCTCTCCACTCCCTTCAATGTTGTAAGGTTATTTGTCATGATGGGTATACGTGATAAAGCACAGGCTTCGTCCCTTCTCTTAGACCTTTTCACTTGTCGCGTCTTTCTTTTCCGGCCTCTTGCAGGTTGGAAGATGCACGTCGTCCCTTGTCCTTCGTCACTTGTCTATTCCTGTCCTCTCCGAAGTTACCATTCTCTTCTCTCGACTTGTCCTGTCGCCTCATTGCTTGCCTCCGCCCTCCGTCTTGTCGTGTCTTGTCATGTCAAGCGGCGCAGGCCCCATCAAGATGTGCAGCGCAGATGGTGAACAGATGGGGCCTGCACCGCAGGCCCCACCTCATGTCCCGCATCCTCCGTGTCCTCTCCTCCCAAGACCCTGCCCCATCTTTCCTACCATCTCCTTACAACTTATCTATCCTCCCCCTTTCCTTCCCATGTCAAAAGGCGCAGCCCTCATCTATTCGCCATCGAGATGTGTTCCCTCACATCCCTCGTCCTCCTCACGTCCCTCCCCCCCATCTGTCATATCTTGTCATATCCCTGCTCTCCTCTCGCAGGTCAAGAGGCGCAGTCCCCATCTATTCACCATCGAGATGTGCACCCTCACGTCCCTCGTCCTCCTCCTCTCCCTCTTCTCCTCTCAAGACGGCGCTCGCATGTTTCAACTCGGATTCTTCCACGCGTGGACGCCCCTCACCATCGTGAGTCAGCATGCATGCAGTCACACTGCGAGATGCTACTGTGTGTGTGTCATCCCTGCTCCTCGTCTCCCTCTTCTCCTCTCAAGACGGCGCTCGCATGTTCCAACTCGGATTCTTCCACGCGTGGACGCCCCTCACCATCGTGAGTCAGCATGCATGCAGTCACACTGCGAGATGCTACTGTGTGTGTGTCATCCCTGCTCCTCGTCTCCCTCTTCTCCTCTCAAGACGGCGCTCGCATGTTCCAACTCGGATTCTTCCACGCGTGGACGCCCCTCACCGTTGTAAGACCCAGGACGATCCCATGCCTCCACCCCTCTCCTGCTTGCCACTGTAACGCACTACTGTGCGGCTTGAGGGTGAAACGCACGTTATTCCTCCCTCCCTCCTCTCCTCCCAAGACGGCACCCGCATGTTTCAGCTTGGGTTCTTCCACGCGTGGACGCCTCTCACCATCGTGAGTCAGCATGCACCCATTCACCCTGTTCACCCTGTTCACCCTGTCTACCGTGAGTCATTGTGCGGTACCATCACCTCTCCTCCTCTCCCTCCTCTCCTCCCAAGACAACACCCGCATGTTTCAACTTGGGTTCTTCCACGCCTGGACGCCCCTCACCGTCGTAAGAACAATCACAACATACATCCTGTCTTGTCTGAATATGTTTTTTGAGACAGAATGTACGATTCTCGAAAAACAGAATAAGAGCAAACTTCCAGCCAGCCCTCTCTCCCCCACTGTGCGTTACCTCTATGCATCGCTGTTAACCATCATAAACCCCACCATGCACCTTCTGCTGGCCCCTTTCATACACCCTCCTGCTGGCACGACTCCTAAGTTCCTGCTAACCCATCTTTACCACCTGTCACCTGTGTGGTGTGACAACCAGCCAGCAGGGTGAGTTGCTTCATGGCACTCCTGCCATCGCATGCTGCACCACCTCTTTCCCATCCCATGCCGATTGTTTTTTCGTCAACACCACACCTCCCACCCCACCCTACCCACCTCTCACCAATGTGCAGGCACTACGTAGCCCAGCCGAAAAGCAAAGCCCATATTCCCGTTCCTTGTCTATTAACCCCCTCCTGACCCCTCCCAACCACTCCTCCCCCATCCCCCTTCCCCACTCCCACCCTCACCCACACCCACTCCCCCTCCTCCTCATCCTGCCCCTCCTCCTCCCCCTCCTTCTGCCCCTCCCCCTCCCTTTCCACCATCCCCAACCTCCCCCCTACCTGTATCCCCCAGATCCCGGCTCTATCAAACGCCATAGGGGGCATTCTCGTGGGGCTTGTGACCAAATATGCAGGGGGCGTTAAGAAGGTATGCAGGTTGAGGGAAGAGGGTTGAAGGGGGGAGCGAGAGGAGAGAAAAGAGGGGGGAGGGGGGGGGAGGGGAGAAGGGAGGGGGAAGGATGGGGGTGGTTCATTTATTTGGGCGCACATGTGTTCGTTGATTGTAAAAAGGGGTTGTTGAACGCCATAGGGAGCATTCTCGTGGGTCATCTCATCAGTTGCGCTCTCCCACCTGCTCTATTCCTTCCCTCCCTTCCTCCTCACCTCTCCGACCTGCTCCATCTGTCCCCCTCTCAATCTCTTCTCTCCAACATAGGGATCGTCTTTACTGCCATCGCATCTCTGCTATGTTGAAATCACTTGCGAGCATTGCTGTCCCTAACATCTCGCATCTCAAAAGTGATTTTGTCATTGCTGCCATAGCAGCTCTGCCCCCTTCTGTCCCTAACTCTGTCCTTCTTCCCACCTCCACCTTTCTCCTCCTTCCTCCTCGCAGGGGTTCACGGTAATAGCGGGGCTGCTGGTAACCGCCATAGTGCAGTATGCTCTCGACGGCACGCCTCCCTCCCTCTTTGTGTGGCTGGCCCTCCCTCTCACTGTCCTCAGCACCTACCTCTACTCCTCCTCTGCTGCACCCCCTGCTGCTGCTAAGAGCAAAGACCTCTAAGCTACTGAGCTAATGTGCTCTGAACAGCACAACTCCCTCCCTCTCACCGTCATCAGCACCTACCTCTACTCCTCCTCTGCTGCACCCCCTGCTGTTATGCTGCTGCTGCTGCTGCACCTGCTGCAAGGATCAAGAATCTGTGGAGCAACTGTTGCTGTGCAGAATGTCTTGATGCCTCCTTACCCTGTGGACTCGGTAGCCCTCCCAGGAAGCCCTCCCATCGTCCGCTGCTGCTGCTGCACCACCTGCTGCTGCCACTATTCCTGCTGCAAAGGGCAAAGAGCTACTGAAGCGGGTATATTATTGCTGCTGCTGCTACTGCTGCTGCTGCTGCCGACTTGCTTCCTTCTTTTCCGCTTCCTATGCCAGTCATAGAGACTTGGTCTTCCTTCTGCAAACGCATTTTCTCCCTGTTGTCTGCTAGTGAGACGCCTAAAGATCTGGCTAGCTGCCAGCACCCAGAGGGTGGCAATGGTTGGGAAGTTGCGAAAAGCAGGTTTCCATTTCCATGCACATGTACAGTACAATGTTATGTGTCACAATGGCAGCTGCTTGCTATGAACATTATTGCTGTTCATGAAAGTTTAAGAAGCATACATACTGGTAGCATAATAGTTTGACGTACCTAGTCCTCTTCTACTACAAACAAAAGACGGGTCGTGTTGCATTGGAAATATGCCGTAGTAATTTCTATTCATTGTTAGTGTTCTCTGATGTGAGTTGTGTTGGTTTCTACGAGGAACTGGTTGCACTTCTTGGTAGGATTGCTCTTCTACAACGAAAGACTCGTTTCACTGCTCTTCTTGGTCGGGCTGAACACAAACCCTTCAAACAGAGAGTTGTCCAGCGGATCCATTCCAGATGCTGCATGCGTATCAATCTTCAGATTCAGTTTCGCTCCTCCCCCTGCCTTTACCCCACCCGCTGCAATTCCAGTCTTCCCGCCATGCCCCTTGTCAGTGCCAGCTGGATTGGTGGAGGTCTGGGCAGCCTTTGCAGGGGCATTGGTGGACTTTGCTGCACCTGCAAGCATACACATTAGGAGACATGGCAATCAAGTGGGACAGACAGATACAGAGAGAGGGGAAGATAGGGAGAGGAGAGAGTGAGAGGGGGAGTGAGAGAAGGGGAATGAGAGGAGCTCGCAAAGAGTACGCAGAAGGGTGAAATTTTGGGGGGAAATGTCGGGTGATAGGGGGATGCAGGGAGATGAAGAGAATATTTAACCATGGTGGCTGCAAGTGGGTGCAGCAGAATAGGTGACATAAGGGACATGGAACGCTGAACATGTGGAGAGACGGGGGTTAGGGAGATGAACAGCATACGGTAGTTACCATGGTGGTTGTCAGCGGGTGCAGCAGAGGAGGGTGGCTCCAAGGGATCACCTTTGAGTCAATTCAGAAGTCAACTTGGGGTGAGGGGGTAGGGAGATGGGTAGAATAGTTACCATGGTGGTTGTCAGCGGGTGCAGCAGAGGAGGGAGGCTCCAAGGGATCACTGATATGAAGGCCGGTGAAGCTCTTATCGAAGTTTGACACGTCCTCTATGCCCTGTTGGGTCGACAATCCAGCAGGGTAGGTAAGAAACATGGGGAGCAGAAGTGTGGGGTTTGCAAGGGATCGCTGATTGCTGATGTGAAGACCTGTGAAGCTCTTATCGAAGTTTGACACGTCGTTGATGCCCTGTTGGGATGACAATCCAGCAGAGGGTGTGGGGACGAGACATGGGAAGCAGAAGAGTGAGGCTTGCAAGGGATCGCTGATCGCTGGTGTGAAGACGTGTGAAGCTCTTATCGAAGTTTGACACGTCCACTATGCCATGTTTGGTCGACATCTCAGCAGAGCGTAGGAAAGAAGCAAGGGGGCGCAGAAGAGGGGGGTTTGATGGGAATTGCTGATTGCTGGTGTGAAGGCCAGTCAAGCCCTTACCAGAGCCATGCTTGACTAGTTTCTGACGTTTGAGTCACCGATCCAGGACAGTGTGGGGGGGGGGTAGAAGCAGAGGGAGGGTGGCACTATCAAAGGAAGGGCGTGCATAAGAAGGAAAAATAACGAGACAAAAGAGAACCCCACTCGACATCACTCACCTTGCTTGCTGGGCACAAACGGGGGATTCACCTCTCTTGCCTTCAGCCTATCCCAGTCCATGCCTCTGCAGCACCCGTCACTCTACGCCACTCACCTTGCTGCCACATATTGCGCACGTCACAAAGAGCAAAGAGCACTCCACCCCACTCACCTTGCTGCTGGGCACGAACGGGGGAGGCACCTCCCTGGCATACAGCCTGCCCCAGTCCATGCCTCGGAAGAACTCATGCCTCATGATCTCAGCAGCGTCAGTCGGGCCTGCTCCAAGCCTCAGGCTCGGCTCCCGAACCAGCAGCTGGAAAGAGGGTCAGGGAGAGGGTAGGTAGGTGAGTGGGAAGTGGGTGACGGAGAGTTGCATGCGGTATGAGAGGAGCTGAATGGGCACTTGGGGTGTAGCTTGGAGGCCATGATTTAAAAATCTAGCTCACAGACCGACATGTTTATATGAAAAACGCACCCTAAAGTTTGGATGTATGCCTAAAAATTATCACCTTTCTGCATGCAATTGGGAGAATTATAATTGGGTTTTGCACCTTGGGAATCCCGTTTGTGCAGGATTCGCACCTTGGAGATGAGATCGCGGAGGTAGAAGTTGGTGACGGTGACGGGGAAGACTAGAGGCGCGTTGACAATCTTGTTGTACATTATGTTCACGTTGCGATCGTAGAAGGGCGGCTGGTGGAGGGGGAGGGAAGATGAGAGATTGGATAATTGGATGCAAGATGTTTGGGGAGGGAAGACAAGAGGCGCGTTCACAATCTTGTTGTACATCATGTTCACATTGCGATCGTAGAAAGGTGGCTGGGGGAGGGGGTAGGGGAAATGGGAGTAACAGACTCAAGGTTTCAGTGATGGGGAAGGCAAGATGCGCGTTCACAATCTTTGTTGTACACTGCGTTCACATTTCGATCATAGAAGGGCAGCTGGGGGAGGAAGATGGGAAACGGAAGGAGAAAAAGTTGGCACTTTGCTGAACTCTGTCTAGCACCATTTGTTCACCAACCACCTAACGAGCCACCCACTTACCACGCCAACCACCACTTTGACGAGAACAACTTTGGAGTTGACTCAAACATACCGATTATTAGCCACATTACTGGCCACGCACTCACCACACCAATCACCATTTCAAAGAGTAGGATGCCCAGGCTTCACCAATCCACAGCCCTGCCATGCCCCTTGCCCTCCCAGCACCCTTGACTCAAAACCTGACCATTTACCATGACTGCATTCCTCTCCACGCACTCACCACACCAACCACCATTTCGAAGAGAAGGATGCCCAGGCTCCACCAGTCCACAGCCCTACCATGCCCCTTGCCTCCTAGCACCTCTGGAGCTGCTTGGGGAAAGGGGCGTGTAATGGGGTCGTGCCATTGAGGATAGGCAAGGTAATAAGGCGTTGAAAGCTGAGCGCGGAAATATGGGAGACCATGAAGAGCAGGAAAGTTGGAGACGGCGGGTAAGGATCACACAGAGAGGGGAGCCTGCATGCAAGATGTGACATACTGCAAAAGAACAAAAGGCTACCATGGCTTCGCCCGGACTTGAACCGGAGACCTTCAGTGTGTTAGACTGACGTGATAACCAACTACACCACGAAACCGATGTCTCCATGATGAATGAATTTTTTACAACCATACTAAAAAAAGCTGACCTAAATACTCAGGCGTGCCGCAAAAGGTGGAGGCCGATGAGTTGTCGGCGATGTGTTCCTTGGCCAATCCGAAGTCCGCGATGCGCACGTGACCTGGCAGGGGGCCGAGTGGATAACGAGATCGTATATGAACGGAAATGCGCGTCGTGCATATCGAGATTATCCCGTGCCGCGGCAAAGCATCAACACGCATCAGGTCAAGTTCAGTTCAAAACACAGAAACCAACATGGCAGGACAATTAGGAGGTCGAGTAGCATCAGCCTAAAGTGCTACTTATTGTTGCTGACGGCTTACCTTGAGCGTCGAGGAGAATGTTTTCCGGCTTCAGGTCGCTGCGACGGACAGCAGACGCACGCGAGCGAGATTACGACGGGGGGAGAATCATGCGCAGAGGGTGAGGAAAAGGGGGTGGGGGAAGGGAAGGGAGCCGGAGAGGGATGAGTCGTAGGCTCTGAGTTTGTGACGAGGGAGGCAGATACAGGGTCATCGGCAACAGCGGCAGAGGGGGCAGGTATAGGGATATAAACCGCGGCGGCGCTCGCTTGGCCGGTAAATGACTCCCAGAGAATGCAGATGCCCGAGCGCCAGCAGCAGCTCCGCGGCGTGGAGGCGCGCGCGGTCGTCCTTGAAGCGCCGCTCGAATCTGTCGCAAGCCTGTCGCGTACCAGTCGCACACCTTTCGCATGGCCGTCGCATACCACTCCGAGTGGCACGGCAGTCGCACGCCAGTCGCATACCGATAAATGACGCCCAGCGAGTGCAGATGTCCCTGCGCCAGCAACAGCTCAGCTCCGTAGAGGCGCGCGCGGTCGTCCTGGAAGCGACAGTCGCGCACCACTCACATACCATCCACATACCGCCGCATACAGTCCCACGCCAGTCGCATATCATCCACATACCGGTAAATTACGACGAGAGAGTGCAGATGCCCCAGCGCCAGCAGCAGCTCCGCGGCGTGGAGGCGCGCGCGGTCGTCCTTGCGCTTGCATATGTCGCAAGCCTGTCGCATACCACTCGCACACCTTTCGCATGGCCGTCGCACACCAGTCACGTACCGGTAAATGACGCCCAGAGCGTGCAGGTGCCCGAGCGCCAGCAGCAGCTCCGCGGCGTAGAGGCGCGCGCGGTCGTCCTTGAATCGCCTTTCGCGCTTGAGATGAAAGAAGAGCTCCCCGCCCGGCATGAAGTCGAGGATCAGGAAGAGACGAGTTTCGGATTGGAGAGCCCACCGCAGCGGCACAAGGAACGGGTGACGCACCTCCTGCGGGAAAAGGGAAGTGGGGAGTATGGGGTCCTTTTAAGCGCCTTTCGCGCTTGAGGTGAAAGCAGTGCTCCCCGCCCGGCATGAAGGCGTGGATTAGGAAGAGGCGAGTTTCGGACTGGAGAGCCCATCTTAGCGGCACGAGGAACGGGTGACGCACCTCCTGCCGTTGGAGAATGCACGGAAGAGGAAATGCCCGGAGGGGTAAATGTGCGGAGGGGGGGATGCGCGGAAGGGGGAATGCGCGTAAGGGGGATGTGGGGAAAGGGGAATGCGCGGAAGGGGGAATGCGCGGAAGGGGGAATGCGCGGAAGGGGGATGTGGGGAAGGAGGGAGAGAAGGTGTTGAAGGGCACACATACGAATCACATACACATAGGCGGTGTTCGCCACGATCACGTAATAGACAAGGGGCGGGGGATGGGCGAGGGCTCCAGAAGGTGCGAACTACGTCTGGGGGGGCTCACGGCTCGCCCTCGATTGAAATTTTGCCAATGGGATCAGGAAGGGGGACAAGGGGATCTAGCACCTGCCTCCCCCTTTCCTTTAGGGGGGAATATTTTTCAGGAAGGGGATGCACCTCCGAAATTGGTGGTATGCACGAGGGAGAGGCGAGGGAGTGGATGGGGTTACTAGCTGGCAGGGCAGGAAACTGCCGTGCGCATTCCGGATCCCCCGCCCATCCCTTTGATGGCCCAGAAATGTGGGTGTTCGCCACGCCAGCGAGCCCTCCGAGGTTCGTGGGGATCGACAGGCTCGACAGTATTTTGTCGGTCTGACCGGCCCTAAAACCCTGATTTCAGCCCTTTTCAAAGGTGCAGGGGGGATTCCGGATCCCCCGCCCATCCCCTTGATGGCCCAGCAAAGGCGTGGCGAAACAGGGCCATAAACGTACTAACCCACTCAAACACACACACTAATCCCCCCTCCCTCCACCCACCCACCTGCAGCACGTGTTGCTCGGTGAGTGTGTGTGTTGCAGTTGTTGCAGTTACACTCATCTACACATACACCCTCTCCCCCAACCCTCTCCCCCAACCCTCTCCCCCAACCCTCTCCCCCAACCCTCTCCACCCACCCACCTGCAGCACGTGTCGCTCGGTGAGTGTGTGCTGCAGCTGCTGTCGCCGCATGACTGCCGCCTTGTCCAGCACCTTCATCGCAAACACCTGCCCGCTGGGGGCATGGCGCACCAGCAGCACCTGAAGTGATGTTGGGGTGGGGGTGGGGGTGGGGGTGGGGGATGGGAGGTCCAGCTGTGGGCATAGCAACAGGCACGTCACTCGCTCACTGCTGCCTTGTCCAGCACCTTCATCGCAAACACCTGCCTGCTGATCCATGGTGCACCAGCAGCACCTGAAGTGATGTTGGGGTGGGGGCATGGCAGGGCCAAATGTAGCAGTACATGCGGTGATGTCTGTCAGACGGAGAGCATGGGAGATGGTAGTAACAGTGGTGCTCCTGAGCCGCCTTTAAAGTGCTATTAGTTTTGAAAATTCTCAGAAATAAACTCGACGCACTTCTGAGACGTCTCTAAAGTGCTACTAGTTGCCCTCACCTTGGCGAAGCTGCCCTTTCCGAGAACCTTGAGAGGGATGAAATCCGTGATTTCCACAGGCGGTGCCACATCAGCATCATGCATTGCCACGTCATTCTGGGGTCCCTTGACGGGTTGGACGCACGGGAGGGAGGAGGAGAGGGGTAAGGGTGGGTTCGGAAGCGGTTGGAAGCGGTGCAAGTGCAACGACTGGGACGGAACAAAATCTTCCTGTGTCTGTATTGATTTTTTTAAGACCTTACGTCATTCTCACCATCAAAGATGCAGCGTCAATCCCACCGGGTGAGCCTTGTGATGTCCCTGCCTCCTCCCCTGCTTCAACCCCCACCACCGTTTTCCCACGGGGGGAGGTGGGCGCAGAGAAGGCGAAGACGCGTGCAGACGCTGCCGCCCAGAAGGGACGGATGGACTGGCGGGGGGAGGGAGGGTAGAATAGAGATGGGAGGGATAATGGGAGCTGGGTTGATGGATGACAGGAAGACTCTGCTGTCCAATTTTGGCGGATGGGTTGGTGGGGGCGAATGGGGGGATTGTGGGGATGGCGCGGAGGGGATGCTGGGAGTTGCATAACTGGAAGAGTGGAAGATGTGTGGTGGTGCTTCACTGCGCTTGATCAAATGAAGTTCACTCTGAAGACCCTGGTGCATAAGCAAGCTGACTCTGGCGACTCTGAGTCAATCAATGAGAAAGGTGTCGATCAAATCCCTCAGGCAAGTCCGATCAGGCAAGTCACTTGCCTTGATCTTGGTGCGCACTGAAGCCAGCAGCTCCTCTTGATCCTGCCACAGATAGAGGAGAGCAGAAAAGAGGGGAGGTGAGGAGCAAAGAGAAGAAATGGGCAACAGACAGATGCATGACATGACACACACGTTGGACAACGAATGTGCGACGTGGGGCACATGTCTTCATGCATGCGCATGGAAAATCGGACGGATGTGACATGACATGACGTGCTTAAGCATTCAGGTGCTGTCTTGCGCTGTATTAGGTTGTCCTTTTCCGTCTCGTCCTGTCTCAGCCTGTCTTCACTCAGCTGCTGTGGTCCCCAACCACCAAGGTGACCCCTTAATTCACCTCAACAGCCAGACCTCCACTGTCAGTGGCACCGTACAGACCGACAAAACGCGACGGAATGGTATGAACTCTGTTCCTATGATTGTGAGCACGTACCACGAGGCCCACGTGGATGCTGGTTAACGCTGGCAGCTGCGAGCGATCGGATTTCAGTGAAAGCGTATATTTGAAGTTCATTCGAAACAACACCTTTTGTCCCAAAAACACAAGAGCACGTACCACGACGCCCACGTGGATGCTGGTTGAGGCTGGCAGCTGGGGCCGATCCGGGGCGCTTTTCGTGTTGGCTCAAAATACACCTTCTAAGCTGACCTGAAAATACGAAAACACGAACCACGACGCCCACGTGGATGCTGGTTGATGCTGGCAGCTGCGGGCGATCGGAGTTAAGAGCGAGAGCGCGTTCAACAGCCATGGCTGCCTCCACTGCGAATGCTGACATCACCATCTGGCATATGGTGGGCGCTAGAGGCGTGCACAGCACGACGTCCTTCTCCTGTAGGAACGGGGCCAGGGGAATGGCGAGAGAGGGGTTTGGACGAGAAACAAGGGAGGTGAGAGAAGATCAGGACAAAGACGAAGCGCCTTCTTTCTCTGCATGCGTGTTCCAATGATTTCTGGGAAAGCAAGTGAAAAAAAGGGTTTGGAACACGCATTGCCGACCGTCCATTGACTGCATTGACTTAAGTTGACCATGCTGATGGAGAACCTGTCACTGCTCTCACCAGCTCATAAATTGTGCCCATGTCACCGTTGACTCACATTGACCAGACCCCTCAACCGCGTGTCATTGACTTGGTCTGCTGCATTGACTCACATTGACTGCATTGACTCACGTTGACTGCATTGACTCACGTTGACCATGATATTGCTTGGCTGCATTGACTCACGTTGACCATGCCGATGGAGAACATGTCATTGCTCGACGACAGCAGCAGCTTAACCACCGAAAGCACCGGGATGCACTGCCTCAGCTTCCCTCTGCTAGCCCTTGCTCCATGGCTGCTCGAAGTCGGTCCGTTACTAACGACAGCCTGTTGCGTCCCTCCCTCCTCGTTTGTCATGTCCCCTGAAGAGCCGGTGGTACCACTCTTCTGCGACCCCTGACTCATCTGTCCATCCGCGCTAGTAACCTCCCCGAAATTCTCAACCTCTTCAGATGTCCTGGGATCCGAATCTACTGGGACCGTAGTCAGGGCTGTGGCAGGAGCAGCAGCAGCGGCGGCGGCGGCGGCAGCGGCGGCGGCGGCGGCAGTAGGAGATGCTATAAAATCATCCGACTTTGTGCCGATTTCATCTTCTTCTTCCGAGCCGCTCCTATCCTCGCTGATCACCTCGAGGAGGTAAAGAGCGCGGGACGTCAGCAGGAGCGTCAGAGGCTGACGGATTCCGTCAACAGTTGAAGGATGGTAGGAGCCTGCGGGCTTGAGTTGCTGGACAAACGCGGATAGAATATCCTTCTCCGACGGCCGCCCCCCTGCAGTCACAAATCGTTACTGGAAAACCGGCGTGCAGATGCAAGGCCGGGTAGGCTCTCACGAACATTTTAAAGCCTCGATAGTATCACATGATAAGAAATGACTTGAGGAACGTACCAAGTGACCTAATAAGATTCCCAATCGAGATGTGCGAGGCGCTTTGACGCTGCGGCGAGAATTCGCCGTCATCGCTGAGCGCTTTCGCGGAGAACCGCGCGCCAAGGAGCCTCCGAGGCAGCACGAGAGAGAGCCTCTCTAGCTGCTCGTGCGCCTCCCTGTGCACTGGGTACGAATCCAGGGGCTGAGACATATTGAACTATCAATCACTTGCAACTCTGACTGGACAGGGAGGAAAAAATAATGTATTGCTTCTTCTTCACAACTACTGAATGTCGCAAATTCCAAAGCTTTCCTAGGTTCTGACTCGGTAACTCAACGACTTCCTGGCGTGGTAAGATCTGTTCTGTTCTGTGGACAAGAGGTGGATTTGTTGTGACGGAGGCTGGGTTGGGAATTTTTGTGCCGTTTCGTCTTCAGAAATTGACGCGCCGCTTGTTGTGAAACGCCGAGTCGCATTCTAAGGTGAGGGTGTGTAAGATCCCCGTGCACACGTTTTGGCTGAATTTTGTCGACCATTTTGGTCGACAAAGCTTTCGCGAAGGAAGACAGATTAGTCGTCACCAGGTCGACAAATTTTCGGCCAACTCAGTGTGGCCTCCAAATCTGACACGGTTTTGCTGGCCGCTGTAACAGAGGTGGAAGATTTCGGTTTGTCCTTTTTTACGACTTGGTGCGACGATGTCGCACACATGAATACGATGTCGCAATTTCACTGTAGCAGCGTATGCGACTTCGTTTCTCACTGTAGACAGCTGCTGTCGACAGCATGGCCGATTTGAAGTCGACCACGCGTCGGAAAAGAGTCGACTAGTTTTCCGGCCATCAAATCACAAATTTGATGGTTGAAATTGACGAGATTCGCAAACCGATCACGAAATGGTTACTTTCGCTACGGCCACCTAATTTTGATGGCCGATTCTGTGTGCACGGGGATCTTACACGCCCGCGGTGTGGTGGGAAATGCGCCGTTTCGCCTTCTTCACCGTCGTTTACACAAACGAATCAGTCGCAGTACACTGTTTTATTATATAAGAAAGTATAAGGTATCAGGCAATTTTGCTCATGTAATGATACAGATTTCAAGCCAGAGACCAATAAGGTGAATTGAGACCGGAGGCTCAATTCGTCACTCTAGATGAGGGACTCCATCTCTTGGTAAGGCTAACAACTAGACAAAATTACCGTATCAATTGAACCATTACGCAAGTGAATTCATCATTCAGTATCAACAAGCACCAAAGAGCAACTGGTATGTCCAAGCCAATCAATCAGTTCAATCCTCTCATCACATCAGAATCCGCACCACCATTACATAAGACTGAAGCTAGAGTAATTCCCCTCCACCCATGCAATCCAGCATTGCCCTCACCAGGGCATCATCCAAAAATCCCAGGCCCTGAGGAGCCTCCCCCAGCAAGCACCCCATGTCATCCATGCCCATTAAACCACCACCAAAGAACCCTAACCCATCCCCGACGGCAACCTCTTCCTTAACACTTGCTTCGGTACAAGTATAATCAGTTCGCGTGACACCACTAGTCGGCGAGCTAGAATTGTTCACATTGTGAACGGCAGTTTCAGTCACATCCGCGTTATAATCACTTCCCCGCAACTTTTTCGCAGGTGATGCCTCGTCGCACCCCGGAACGGCTTCCGCAACTTCTGCGGCGGGAACGGCAGGTGAAGGAACTTGCGAGGGAAGCTGCGACGAAACCTGCGACTGCCTTCCGCGCAAGCTAATCTCCCTTCGCAATCGCTCTGCCTCCTCCTTCATGCGCTCATTCGCCGCACGAAGGCCTTCCGCGCTCGTCTCAGCCTCTTTCAGCTTACGATTCGCCTCCTCGCGCGCTTGCGTCAGAGCCGCGACCTCTTCCTCCAGCTCGTCGAGTCGCTCGCGCTTCCGCTGCCGCGACCGCTTCGCCGATTGACGATTCGACATAATTCGTCGAATCTTCTTCTCCTCGTCCTCGTCGGAATCAAGTTTCGCGCTGCTCGCGGCGAAGTTGATTCCAAGAGCGTTTAGAGGGCTTGCAGCTGCAATCATGCTGTTGCTAAGAGGGGTTACGCCGGGAATAATATTGGCGCCGAAGGAGGTCCCACCCGATGCAGTCACACCAGGTACGTTGCTCAGGAAACCGTTTGATGGAATCGATGCGGGTATTCCTACTGAAGGAGGTGATACCGCGGGAATCCCAGGGAGTGAGGAAACAGGAGGATGGGGAATAGAGGCGGATGATTGGAGGAGAGAAGCAGCAGAAAGCAACGCAGAATTATCGGTGATTCCAGTGGGAGAGAAGGCCAAGGATCTGCCGTTGATGCCAGCCGACGGAAATCCTACGGCTGACGGCGGCCGGGTGACCGTTAGATTAGCACGCCTCTGTAGCTGAGCCAGAAGGTCGTCTCGGCTCACAAACCCTTCATTCGCCGCCTTCTGCTTTGTTTGCGCCGGCTGTTGCGCTTGAAAACCGGCCATGAACTGAGAAACTGCCCGGTCGAAATCTTCCGAGACACGAGGACGGCTAAGAGACCCATTGGATCGAGATTCGGAGTTGGCGGCGGGTGCGACGGCGGACGAGAAGGGCACTCGCTTGATCTCTGGTGGGAAACACATGATGGCTTTCTGTTGAATCGACGCGGATCACGCTATAGAACGATAACCAAGCTAAAAACACGAAAAAAAGAAGAGAAATTGAAAGTATAGGATAGCAGCCGAAGTGGAGATAAGTAGGAATGAGGGCTGGAAAGCGAAACTGGAGGTTTGAAGCGTTGTGCTGTGTGCTTGATTCAGGATGGGCAGGGGGGAACTGGGGGGGGATGAAGGACGACGCTCGCTGGAACAGCAAGCTGGGGGAAACAACGGGGGAAGGAGGGAAGTTGACTGTGGCTTGGTCGGAGCGTTGAGGCGGGTGGGTGGGAGGGAGGGGTAGGAGAGGGAATGACGGAGCGCCCTGGTTTCGGGTTTCCGATTCCTTTGGGCAGTGGTTTTGACAGCGCCTCGCTTCGCGCTCGCGTCCGATACCTTCGGTCAGTAAATTACGCTATTTTCCCATTTGGAGTCCAGAAACTACAACTTTGTTTTATTTAATGGGACAAAAAATATAAACCCCTCACGGGGGGGACGCCGTCAGGGAGGCATCAACCCTAAACACCATGAGGCAAGGTGTTTAGGGTTGATGCCTCCCTAATGGCCAGCCCTCCGAAAGGGGTTTATTTTTTTTCACTGGCCACTAGACTAATACCATGTAAACTTAATAATTTTTCTGGTCACCGGACACTGGAAATGTCGAAATCAGCTGCCCCAAGGAATCGGACGCGAGCGGAAAAGCGAGGCGGTGTCAAAGCCACTGCCCAAAGGAATAAAAAATCCGAAACCGGGGCGGTTCGTCATTTCCTCGGGGTAGGAGCTATGGACGGAAGGGAAGGGTCTACGCGGGTGGAACTTCCACCATCAACCGTCCGTGCGGCTGGGAAATAGGGCTGGAAAAATCAGCTGGGAAAATCGGCTTCGGTTCGGGAATCAGGAAAATCGGGGAAGCCGATTTGATGCAGCGGCAGGGCTGCCCTGCCCACCGATACAGGTATCCAGGTATCTTTGCAGCCGATTCGAGCGTAACCAGGTATCTTTGCACCGAAAATGGTCGCGTATACAGGACAAAAACCAGCAACCCGAAATATAGTCCCTAGATCTGTACAGTGTTTCAGGCGCGTCAGCGAAATGATGAGAGGGTTCATGGCTGCGTTCGGCGGCCGCATTAGCCCGCACCAATGTACATTGCACATTTTTTTCGATGTTCCAGGAGCCTTCCGTGATAACCAGCCGAAAGGCTATCAAGGTTCGTGATAAGCGCTTGGCTGCCGAGGCAGACCAAGCCCGAATGCCTGCAGAACGGTCTTTTTGGCAACCACAAATTTGCATGTCGCCGCTTTCCAGGAAATACAGTGTTCTAGCAATCTGACGCATCCTTGATGCGCGCATGATGCAACGCCCTAAACACGCATGATGCGCGCATCAGCTCGAATTGGGGCAATTGAACAGCGCATCATGCATGTGGGGAAGGCGCCAGGTGCGTTCTTCCCCACTTCGATGAAAGCTCCACACCCTGGAATCCGTCGGAATTTTGGGGTCGAAATTTGACATGCCCGAAATTCGACATCCCCAATTTCCGATTTCCCGAACCTGCGTGTCCATTTTCCGAACCTCCATTTTCCAATTTCAATTTGGACATTACCGAGCCTCAATTTTTCAATTTGTCAATTTGCCGAGCCTAGGGCGCATCAGGCTCTGATGCGGCCGCCGAACGCAGCCCATATGTGATAGCAAAGTTTCGAGTGTGACTACCCGTGATAGAAATTAGTGCCTTTTTGTGACGGCGGGTGATACCCGTGTGATGGTTCGTGATAGATTTGGCGGATTTTGTGACTGCGTCTGTGATAGATTTGGCGGAACATCTGACTGCTCGTGATAACTATGAAAAGTTTTGTGACGGCCCATATAAAAACCCCAAAGTTTCAGCCAGATGCACAAACACCTTCTAGGCCCGAAAAGAACTTGGCACTGTACAAAATCTGACATCAAGCAGGTCCACTCCACGTTCGATTTCTCCCCAGTTGGTACAGTACGCACAACAATGCTCTACACATGTACACATGATGCCCGACCAGTGCACGCGAATTTGCCATGCACCGGATGGACACGCTGCCCCCGAGGTCGAAACCCCTGCTTGCTGCACCCCATGTACAGGCACATGGATGGCTAACTACACTGCACGCGGCCCGGCCTCCCCCCCACGTGCAGACCACAACAAGCAGTGCCGACCCATGTTTTCCTTTTTCCTAGGCCAGGAGTCAATCGGGCGAAACGACCGGACGAAATGAAAGTGGCTTCGTAAATGCATTCGCCCACCTGCCCCGCCACCTAGGCGAGGATCAAGGTGCGTGTAATAGACATCTGGGCTGGTGCACGCTGCCACGTGTATTCCTCACTTGTGGGGTACAAGCCCATTAACAACCAGGCGTTGTTCGCCTACCCCACGTCAGATCATAACTCTGGTGGTAACCCAACCACATATTCGAAATTGTAAGCAGGGTGCATGCAACGAACAACCACCACACGAATCAAACCCAGCCACACTGAACGGGCCCCAGCGCTGCTCAACCTCGTCCTCAAACCAAAAGTTAAAACCGACGCGCAAATTCATTCAACCATCGTTTCTCGTCAACGCCACAGCCTCCCACCATGCCGCGGTTTAATCGCCGTGAGCAGCTTCCGCTGCACATCAAGCGCGCATTATGCGCGCATCACGTCGAGCACCCCCTCCTGCGTCACGTAGATCTCGCCCGCTGGGTTTACGCCCAGTATGGCCTGCGACCTGACCGCTCCACGGTCGGCCGCATCCTGAAGAATGCCGAGCGTTGGGCTCTGGTCGAACCCACTGCCGCCAATCAAGTGCGCCGTCGAGGTGGCGCATGGCCTGAGCTTGAGCAGGCCATGGCGCGCTGGATCGCCAACGCTGGCCCCGCGGGCGTACCACTCACTCTGCAGACGATCCGCGACCACGTGGCGACCATGGCGCGCAACATGGGCATTCCGCCTGTGTTCTGTTGCTCCATTGGCTGGGTTCGCCGTGCGTTGCGGCGCCAGGGAGTGCGATGCCGTGCCGCCACCGGCGAGGCGGCGAGCGCCGACATGGCTGCTGTGCGTGAAGCGCGTGAGAAGGTGCCGCAACTTCTTACTCACCTCGGCTACAAGCCGCGCGACACCTTCAATCTTGACGAGACCGCGCTGTGGCTCTCTGTGCTACCTCAGAAAACATACAGCAACGCGCGGATTCCCGGACGCAAGGTCTCAAAGGACCGGCTTACCGTGGCGTTTCTCGCCAACGCCGACGGGAGCCATGTTTTCCGGCCTAAAGTCATCAGCAAGGCGTGCCGTCCGCATGACTTCCGGCCGGACTACGACCCCGAAGCCGTTTGCTACTGGCGGCACAACGCTAAGGGCTGGATGACCAGCCCGGTAAGTGTTTGCCGACCGTGTGATTTTGCGCGTGTTTGTGTTCTTATAACGCTGTGTTAACATTGTTATCTAAGTGTTGTTATAACATTGTTATAACATTGTTTATTCCCCCCCCCTCCCACCCTCCCTCCCAATCCCCTCCAACAGTTGTTCACGCATTTCATGTCGCAGCTTAATGCCGTGATGTATGCCGAAGGGCGGCACATCGCGGTGCTGCTCGACAATGCAAGCTCCCATATGCTGTGGGACGAGTGCGCGTGGAGCGAAATCGTCTGCGGCATGAGGACCACCTGCCTCAGCAACGTGCGCCTCATCTTCCTGTCGCCGAACACAACCGCCTTCACGCAGCCCCTCGACCAGGGCATAATCGCGACCGCGAAGGCCCGCTACCGCCAGCACTGGCTGCGGGCCTTCACGGCACTGTGGAACGACGACGGCGCCACAAGCGCCGTCGCCCGCTGGCGCCTCAATCTGCGCGACGTGCTGGGGTGGCTCTCCGACGCCTGGATGAGTGTCGGCGCGCGCACCATCCAGAGGTGCTGGTGGCGCACGGGCTGCCTGCCTCTGTCGTGGTCCATAGAGCTCACGCATGTGCATGATGATGAGCCGACCCCCCATGCTTACCCCGACATTGAGCTCGACGACGACATCGACGACGTCGGCGAGCTCATAAGCGGGCTCGGCCTCGGCACCGGCGCAATGACCGCCGCCGAGTACGTCGCCATCGACGAGGGCGAGCCGACATGCGCGGAGCCGGGGGCGGACCCGAATCCTGATGATGCGGACGTGGGCCTGATCGCGGAGTTATGGAGGGCGCCGACCACGACGACTCCGACCCCGTGGGCCGCGAAGCGCGGCGCACGGCACGGGCGGCCTGCGAGATGCTCATCGGCTACGCCCGCGCCGTGAGCGTGAACCCTCGCGACCTTTGCCACCTCTTCGACATTCGTAATCCGATCATTATTGAGCGCATGGAGCGGGCAAGCCCCGCGCTCAATCTCGACACGACCCCGCCGCCCAGGCTTTCGCCTTTCGCAACTCCGACGCCAGACACCCCGCGTCCGCGGGGCAGAGTGCTGTCTGGCTGGAAGACCCAGCCGTCCCGCCGTCAGCAGCTTCTGGACGGCGGGGTTGGCGCCGCGATGGGCGGGTACGTGGAGGCGGCAGAGTGGATGCAGCTGTGAGTTGGTTTTGTGGACTCATAAGCAGGAGTCGAAGGTTGGGATGGTGGAGTTTTTGAAGATTTGTGAAGTGTTGGGATTGTGCATGTAACGGGCACATTTGCAGTAGAGGGGATGTTGTTGAGCTCGGGGGTGAATGGCCATGTGGTAGAATGTGATTGGCCTGGCTTTGCGTGTCAGCTGTTTCAATCTAAGTTGAACAAATGTTGATGTTGCTTTCTGGGTTTGTTTTGCTTTCGTAAGGATTTCGGTAACGCGCACATGTGACAATAGGTGCCA